ATAAGATGAAACCGTAACATATTTCCTTTCCTAATATCTATAGTACCTAACCTGGTACTACTTTAGGCTCTGGTTAAACCTGATGGAACCATTTACAAACGAGTGACCACAAAGAGTCATCAGTCCGCCCATTAACCTCTTACTTGCCTTTGGGGGATTGTGCTATTCTTTATTAAAGGCCTCAAAGAGGACCAAAGAAAGAGAGAGAGGAAGTGGAAATAGCCCTTTTTAAAGCAGGCTGCAGAGGCAATAAGCCAAGTACTAACAGGTCGAGGCTATGGTCACTTCAATCCTTGAGAGAAGAAAAAGCCATGATCAAAGTGAAGTGAGAGATCTGAGACCCCGGCTTGATAGAAGGACCACTTCTAAGCTCCCTGGGTTGGGATTTAAAGACTTACTGTACAAAAACATCTGGAGGAGCATTGATCTTCAAAGAGAACATCTAATCATGTTCCTGCAGTTCCTCCACGCAGGAGCGACGCAATCCATTGTTGCTGCGTTTGTCTACCGGGAGCTGCGTCATTGTATTGTGTGTACTGGTATGCGTCGTACATGGAGTACCACATAAACAGTTACAGGACACTTTGTCTCTTTGCCTTGTGCAATCCAGTCCATGTCTCGTGCCACTACGCCAGGGAGCCCTGGGTGGCTTTACTCGCTCATGCCATGTGTATATTTTAACCAAACAAGGCCTAAGGACACTCTGGGGTGGTACAGAGGTGGGAGGGGCGAGGAGGCTGAAGGCGCAGTAGTGTGGTCTGATGGTTGAAGTCAGTGATTTAGTGGCTGTTGATACCGGGCAGACAGCCCAGCCTGAGTCCCTGACTCACTGTAGATGACGCTGCATAAGTCACTACACTTAAAATGTCCTCATGTGTTTATATCTGTTCAAGTGGAAATCGGCCGCACTCAGGAAACCAGAAATGGCTACTGAATGTGATTCTCTGCTCTTTCTCCCTGCAGCCTTCATAAACAGGTACTGGGGGAGAGGGTGGGGGGGTATTAGGCTGTTGGCAGGGCTGTTAATGACACTGTGAACCCTCTGAGCTCTGTGGGTGCCTACAGGTGTCAAACAAGTTGTTGTCAGTGAAGAGTCACCTGATCAACAGAATGATTAGAACCGGCCGTAAGATGCGCAACATCTTTTAATATGTGAGTACTTGAAACAAAAACACTTCTAGATTTGTAATATTCTACATTATGAACTAGAGTGTTAGAATATTGAGCAATAATGTTGGACTTATTGCGCAACATTCAGAAAGCAGTGTGATAGAGAATAATAAATATTACGCATTATTACTGCGTACAGTAAAGTTTTATTGATCGTTCTTGACACGTGATACATTGATGATGATGATGATACACAAACAGTGACATCATCCACTTCTGATGACATTCAACCAATCAAATCTTGTATTCAGGTATCATGTACCTGAATACGAATAAGTTCATGGAGGTTCAGTGGCTCAGTGTTGACTTCAGGAATTGGTTGGGGGTTCAATTCTAGGCTCCACTTTCCCGCCAGTCTTACCTGCTCCTGATAGGTGTGGCAGCAGTGTACAGAAAGGTTTAATACATAGTTAAGAGATATAAAGCAAACTGATAAGACAAGGTGAGGTTTGTAAATAAATCGCTGAGTCCCTTAATTTTCTACCATTATTGGGTCGGTGGAGAGAGAGAGAGAGAGAGAGAGAGAGACTACAATATACCCATGTTAGAGGCTTTTTTAAAATCATATTTAATTGTATTTCTAGTCTATAGCCATGTTAGAGGCTTTTTTAAAAATCATATTTAATTGTATTTCTAGTCCTTTACCTTTAGTGTAAGTTATGTTGGAGGAACAGAGGATTAACATTTGCCTGCGTTACTGCTGACATGTACTGCTCCTACAGTATTATGTTCACAAAAAAAATATAAACGCCCAAAATAAAACTCCCACAGACAACGGAGGTGTGAGGTAGTGGTTTTCTCCTTCAGACATGGAAATGTTGAACAAAAACACAAATGCAGCTCTGTCATCCGTCGTACGTTTGGGCCCAATTACGCTACACTGTCATGAAACAAACAATAACAGAAACAGGATGGTTTGTGGAGCCGAGTAAACTTTGAACATCTCCTGAGTCTCGGAAACAGTGGAGGTGGCAGTGAGGGCTCGCAGACCTCCAGACTCATGTTGTTGATCCATCTGTGGTCACACGAAAACCAAACCCTCATCCTCTGGGATATCCTCTCAGTGGGTCAGGAGCTGAGCGCATAGAAATTCCCCAACTGACCCTGCAGACAGAAATAGGGTGAAGCAGATGGTTTCTTTTCTGGGAATTACATGTATTCAGATTCTAAGAAGCTGAATTTAAAAAACCAAGCGCCTCAGGATTCAAACCTGAATGACACTAGAGAAAGTAAATTTGGAAATTCTAAAGGAAAAAAAAATAGAATATTAAAATACGTATGAGCAGTTATAATTGGACTGTGTTTGGTCTTATGTGTTAACAGTCTAAAGCGGGGGGTGTCAAACTCATTTTGGTTCGGGGGCCACATACATTCTGATTAGATGCCAAGTGGGCCGGACCAAGTACGACATAATTACCTATAAATAATGATACGATATGTTTTTCCCCTTTGTTTTCATGCAAAGAAGTACAAGTTTATTAGTCATATTTAATGAAATATAATTTGAAAAAACATGATGGACATGAGGTGTTTGTGCATTTTTGTTTTTGCTTTCAAAACTCATGAAGCGGGCCAGATTGAACTAGCGGGATTTTGGCCGATGTTTGACACTCCTGCTCTAAAGGTTTTAAACCCCCCGCTTCAAAAAAGAGTGTGTGTCAGCTCAGGTCTGCCGACCTGTGATTCTCTCCGATGTTCTATCTGTCCGAGCAGATGTTCTCTTCGCTTCTCCACAGCTGCGCTCCACATGTTTTCACGCTGTTCCACAGCACAGTGTTGCTTCTTTTCTCTGCTAGAAGCTCCAGTGTTGGTGGTGGTGGTAGATTCCTTCTCTGCATAAGGTTCTGCACTTCCTCTCATTCACAAACAGAACCCAGCAGTAGCACTTCGGCTATACTTGGACCTCAAATGTGTCCAGTCCGGCAACGTAAAGAATTTGGAGGGAGGGGTTGTATGGAGTTGAGGGTCCGGGAGGGGGGGGGGGGGGCTCGATCTGGCAGGGTCTGTCATGGCTTCATAGCACACGCAGTCATTTCCATAATTGCCCGTAATCAAACCAACCCCTCCTAGATTCCACCCACTCCAGATTCCTGTAGATAAGCTAAGCTGGGGCTGGGGTGAGTGCCGGAGACCCCCAAGTAAGAACAGGTGCCACTAATGATGTAACTGATTTCAGATTCTCGGAGCAGGGCTTCGTGGTAGGAGTGGGTGGGGGGTGTTGTGCTGTCGGTAATTGTTGTCCTCAGACTGCAATCTTTTACATTGCTGAAGAACAACGCTTTTTAACGGGTCCAGTTCTGGAAACTTCAACCAATAACAATTAGCATGCAATGCAGTTTAGTCGAATATAAATAGTTGACTTGATATCCAGTGTCGTCATAGAGGGTCTGGGGGGGCTCTGTCTGAAATATTCCAAATATTTATTCCTACATTTTTATGAAATGAATGGGATGAGATAATGCTCTTTAGCAATATAAGCTAAAAAAAGGGGGGGGGGGTGGGGGGGGGCGGGAGCCAAGAGCTTCAATAGAGGATCCCCACAGAAGTACTGATTGGTCGGTTGAATAAACATATTTTTTATATGTGTTTTTAATATAAAACATGAACTTGTGTAAGCTTGGAATTAGATGCAAAATGTCATGCCTCAAATGCTGTTAATACTACTTTCTAAATATAGGTTCTATTTTAAGACATATCCATTATAATTGTCTGTCTCCTCTCTCTGACTTCCTTGCTTCAAGGCTTCAATGGCAGCTATAAACCCTCTAAGCTTTACTACTGCCACCTACTGGCTTTATTTCTCCTTGATAATATATTTTCACTTAGAAAAAAAATTGATTTTTCCACAGTTCCAACTCTGTATAAAAAATATGACCATGAACAGAACTGTCTGTGACACTGAGAATGAATGAGAGGATTCCAGTATAGTTAAAAAAAAAAAATCAAACTCTCACGGACCCACCTGTGGACCCCAACCCAGACATTGAAAATCACTGCTTTAGATCCAATAGAGAGAATTAAAAAAAAAAAAAAAAAACAGCGCAAAAGCACCTGGTCTCCCTGGACCAGTGTTGAAATACCCACCGCCACCACCACCAACACCACCACCCTCAGGCTCTGGCAGGTAATCGCTTCACCTCGACGTGGACGCGACCGCAGCCACATGCGCGCCCCCGCGGACACCTACGTCACGGTGCTCGCTGCTCTTCTCGCGCGCTGGTTAAAAAGAAGGAGGAAAGAGGACGGAAAACATGTGAGCGCTCCTGGGACTTTGGTCAAGGCAACTTTTATTTTTCTTATCATATTTTTAAAGCACCAACGGTGGGACTGCGCTCTGAAGGATTTACATGTGAAAGGACGTCACGGCTCTCAGTCTCCCTCTGTCTGTCTTTACTTTGGGGTTTTTTTTTTTTGGAACACACTGTTTTGGTTTCTTCTTTTTTTGTAGTACATTTTTTGAATTATCCAGCAAAAAATGTATCATTGATTTGTTTCTGATTTTTTGTTTCATGTACCATATATATATTCATTATTCATAATTTATTTCGGAAAAAAACACACGTGTCTCTGCAGCAGTGAAGCCCATTTTAGGACACCTGCTTACTTTCTCATTTTCTAACTTGTCATTGGCTCGTGCTGCTGCGGAGGAAATTAGCGCACATTCAAAAACATACATTTATCACATCGTAGACTAAAGTACCAGAGGAAAGAGAGGAACCTATTTTATCAACACTTGTTTTGTTTTTCCCAAGAATTTGTTTTTTTCCTTCGGGTTTTTTTTTTTTTTTTTTTTTTTTTTTTTTTTTCCCCCTTTTAACCCCAAAATTTGCAATTCGTGCTGGTTCTGGCCATCGCGGTGAATGTGTGGGAATGTGGAGATGCAAAATTCGGAGAGAGGGGAGAAATCAGCCCCAGGAGGAGACGATGTTACGACGGCAGCTTTCCCAAGCGGCTGAAGAAGAGGGAGAGAAAAGTGCTGCTTGACGGCAGCAGCCTCAGCAGTATGAGCAGCAGTGGAGACGTTTGCCACAGGTTGTACCCCCGTGTGTCCTGCTGCCCCACCAGGAGAGCCGCCTTCCAGATCCTGCACCGCAGGGATGCCAGGGTGAGTCAGTAGAACGAGGGTCCGCGGCCCCCACTGTGGTCCGGCTTTAAAGGAAGTTCTCTGCGTTTTGTTGTTGTTTTGTTTGTTTGTTTGTTTTACTGCTGGTTGTGTGACTTTATTGCCCTTCTGTATCTAGTTGCGGGGGTTATTCGAGAGCAGTTGCCCTGAGCTGTGTGCTTGTAGTTGTTTCCAGGTGAAAAGTTTACATTTCATATTAAAAATCGTGCGGAGATGTTAACGGAGTCTGGTGCTTCATAAAAGCCCGACTCTGGGGTTGAATTTTAATCTGACGGTGGCGCTAAATTCATCAGAAAAGTTCCCTCTCTCTCTCTCCCTCTCTCTCTCTCTCTGGTGCGCACTATTTATTCGTATAAAGTACGGAACATAATGCGCACGAGACGCTCGTCGTGAGCGCACGAGGTATGTCCATTTACGCACAAGAAGAAAAGAAAATCTGGGACTGAAGAGATTCTATTAAATCTCCTTTTTTTATAAAAAAAAATACTTTGTGTGAATGTTCATATATGGTGATAAATGTGCATTATCACCGTTGAAATGTTCGAAGTGTGGGCTCTGTGGTTGTGGTCCAAACCTCCATTTACTGTCAGGCGCACTGTATGTTCGAAGTGTGGGCTCTGTGGTCGTGGTCCAAACCTCCATTTACTGTCAGGTGTAGTAGGTTTGTTTATTTTCATATTTCAGTCTGCGTGTTTAAAAAGAAAGAAAAGCTGGCGCTACATTATATTCCAACATGTGCGATGCTCCTCCGCGTTACCATGGCAATCACGCGCGCCGCCTGCGCCTGGAGAAAATGATCCTCGCTCATCTGTTTAACCTTTTACAGTCAGAAGAAGAAGAAGAAGAAGGGAAAAAAAGTCGCTTTAACTCTGTCTACACGAGTCGATAACATCTGGTTTACGACTCGTCCGGCAGAGGGACGCGTTTGTGTCCGGCTCGGTTAAACCGCAGCCTCTCTCTCTCTCTGTCTCTCTCTGTCTCTCTGTGTTTCATTTTCTCCGGGAAAGATTTTGTTGAACAGTGTAGGTTTGAATCCCCTGCTCTGTTTCCCTGGCTGAAAAGCGACAGGAAGGAGCGGAGAAAACACACTATAACAACTGTATGCGCCAAACGTGTAGCCATTGTCATGTTAAAGAAGTGCTGGGATCATTCAGTGGCTGGGTGGTATCACACTTTGTCCCCGCGACAAAAAGCCATATTGCATCATTTAATTTGCTCAAGTCATGCAAATAAAAGCTGAGGGTGAGGGTGAGGGGGGGCGGAGGGGGGGGGGTGAATAGGACGAACTCGACTTCTCCTCCTCCCCACTACACTGCCCACACACGGAGCCCGTTGTGATTATGGCAAAAGAATAACAACAACACCATTGTGTTTGTTGGTTTGGCTAATGGGAGAAGCTGGAGAACATCACTCTCCCCCAGTCATCAGCCCTGTCCAAGTGTTAATGCCTTTGAGAGGCTGTTTGTCCTTCACTATATCCTGCTGCCAACTAACTTACACCTATTCCCCCAGGACAAGTGCTTTGTTGAAGTTTTAGTGCTGCCTACATTAGTGCCCCCCCACACACCGACCCACTCCCCCCCCCTTCACCTCTAACCATGAGAGTCTGCAGAGCATCACAGATTGTTTCATTCTTGACTACTTTTGTAACTGTTTTACCAAAGTACAGAAGTACAACTGTGGAAATAACAACGTGTTCTTCACATTTACCATGTTTTCCTGATTTAGTGCAAATTACGGCTGAATTTTTTTAAATTTTTGTATGTATTTTTTGTGCCTAAGGGAGGGAAAAATAACCCTTTTAACACTGAGCGGTGGCTGGCGCTCTTTAGGTAGAGCATTTGACTGACAAATGGAAGGTTGTTGGTTTGATTCCAGGTTTTATAGTTTATAAGTCACACCTCTTGACAGCCTTGCTAATGGCAAAACCTATATATATTCTGGGGACACATATTTCAAAAGCCACAAAACTTCGCAACCCAAGTCAATAGACATTAACCATAAATTCCTGGGAAACTCGATGCGAGGCGACCCAAAACAAAAATCTCTTGCGACCCGATGCGAGACGACACCAAAACAAAAATCTCTTGCGACCCATCTGAGGGTTGCGACCCAGTCTTTGGGAAACAACGGTGTGAAGCACTTTGAATGGTCAACACGACCAGAAACGCTCTATCAACATGAGGTTGCAACCAAATGCTAGCACATCCAGCTCCAGACTGGCCGGTCATTTTACACACATGGCTATCAATCATGCATGCTGTCCATTTGTTTTCATCGCCAGCCACTGTGCTGTAGTGTCTTTTTTCCTCTCAACAGGAACCAGATCCACAGTGTAAAATCCACCTCCGACTCCACGCGCGATGTTTATTGTACTGTTCCTGCAGAAACACCCACAAACGCACATTTCCCCTGGAATAATATCGCTGACACTAATCTTAACCAGATTCACGTTACGCGTCAACAGTTTTTATTTTGCGGTGCCGCGTAGCTTCCACATTTTGGTTTTGCCGTGTCCTCAGCAAAACGGCAACAGCTGAGCCTTGTTGCCGTTTCCCCTGCTTTTGAAGAACGTGCTCGCTGGGATTCAGCATAAAAAGGCATCATACAAAGGTCTACTTGTTCTAGTTTGGATGATGGCAACATTGGAGCCTGGCCCAGCAACATATGGACACAGGGCATGGCTGAGAGAACACAAATGCTACTCTCCGCAGACCGTGTGCCAGCCCAATGGCACACGGAATCAATGGGCAATTTAGAGCAGGAGGGGAAGGCATGTCCACAACACTGCCCTACGTACATGTCAGGAAAACGGAAGAACACAACCCAGAGTCTAAGCCAGCTGGGAGCTCTCCCCCCAATTTTTCTAAGCTTCATACGTTTTAAAAACGAATCAATAAATGTAAAGATAGTTGTGTGTCTGTGTAGGTTCTCAGTCATCCAGGTCTAGACGAAGTAGTTGTTTTTTTTTTGGGAGATGTTTCACCTCTCATCCAAGATACCAGAAGTTTTTTTTGGGAGACGTTTCACCTCTCATCCAAGATACCAGAACTGAAGAAGCCTCTTGGATGAGAGGTGAAAAGTCTTCCAAAAAAAAACAGTCCTACTTCGTCCAGTTGCCCGCGATGTGACTGTTTTTGGAAAGATAGTTGTAGCTTTTTGTCTTTGTTCTACCTGTCCTTTAACTTGTTGTTCTGATCGCTGTGAGAATATATTTTCTCTAACTACCAGTTCTGCCACCTGTTGGGGAAAACACAACTCGGTAGATCGTAAACAGAATGCTTTTGCCCCAGTTGCAGTTTGTTCTGCAGTCGGGACAAAGTGTGAGGCGTCCATATGTTGGTCTTGGGTTCACTGGTGTAATTGACTTCGACAGACTGCTAATTTGTTGATACCAGAGTGGGAATGATGTGTCTGTCTATCTCTAAATTAGTGTTTACACATGGACCTCACACAGAGCAAAGCACTACCAGCCTGCCTGGCTGCCTGGCTGCCTGGCTGCCCATGCAGGCGCAGCTCTTGACCTAAAACAGATTACATTGTGTTTTATTATAGCTAATTTGTTATGTAAATAATCCCGCTAATTTCTTTTGGATTAACTCTTTGTGTACTCTTGGGTAATGACCCCCGAGTCAGTCTTTGAGGTGTTTATTTGGCCTCCTTCATTTCATGCCTTGAGATCTGTCAGACATAGGAATTGCAACTTTAGTGCAGCTGTTTGTGAATTTGGTAAATAGGCAGTGGAAGAATGAGCTCTCTCTCTCTCTCTCTCTCTCTCTCTCTCTCTCTCTCTTTCTCTCTCCGTCTTCTAACAAACAGGAAATCCAGCCTCAGATATTTACAAACACGATATCCAATGACATAGCGGAGGACAATATAGATGTAATATAACAAGGATAAGACATTTACCTAAATGAAAACAACCCCCCCCCACCCAAAAAAAAAAAAATTGATTTTACATTTTAATAGTCTCGGTCCAGGTATAACATTTGGAAAAAAGGCAGCGCTGTCATTAGCAGGTTTGCAGTGCTTTCCCAGTATGAATGGTGGTTTGTTGGAACAGGTCGTGGTCAGTGATGCTGCTGAGTTACTGTGTCCGCTCTCATCCGTCATCCTACAGAAGATGCTGTGGGCAGCATCCAAACGTTAGCGCTTTTTGCCAAGACGACGTGGAATATAAACAAACTCCATGGCGTCACTCGCTCTTTGATGAGAAGAGTGACAAGTTTTGGGCAGAGAGAGAGCAGTAACAGCTAGTTTCCACCTCGTTGCCAGACAGAGACGATCTTGCGTTGCATGGGACATATGGTAGCCTGGGTGTCGTTAACATGCGGCCGCTATCTGGATGTGCTCCTTCAGTCGGTTGCCTACATCAGGGCTGAGACATCTGGGGTTTTCTTTTAGTCCAGACACTTTCAAATTTGAGATAAAGTTCTTGATTTGTTGTACATCAAATGCCGTGATATGGAAAACAAGTGATTTGGTTTTTAAGGGGTCTTCTATGTAAGAGTGTGAACATTTTGAATCCAATTGGAAGTAACAATTCCACTGTTGTCACAGCTGAGGTGTCTGTTTTCAGTCTTTAAATTCATAAATACGTCACCATCACACTGGGTTAGCACTCGCCGAACAGGAAGTCCTGAGCAGATTAGCTGTGAGCATCAACACCTATCTGAAAAAAACTTACACGAAGCAGTCCTGTCTTTCAGAAGGAAAGACAATTCTGACTAGATTATTATTTAATCAGAGTTAATGGATTGAAATGTTGAAAATGACTGTTCACCCATGTATTTGTGTCTATGTAAAAAAAAAGTTACTGAGTACTGACAGTTTTACTGCTTGTCTTCATCCTGTTGAGGTGCCAGGCTGTTAGATTGTTGTTTTTCAATATGCTCAAAACATTCTTACAAATGCCATATTGAGATTGTTGTTAGATTGTTGTTTTTCAACATGCTCAAAACATTCGCGCCAGCCTGTTAGATCGTTGTTTTTCAACATGCTCAAAACATTCTTACAAATGCCATGCAACATGGAATGGGTCACTGTGGTGAAGAAAAGAGACACAGAGGCAGTGCTTGGGTTTCTCTAGTTCAGAGATCTACACATTAATGTTTCATGAAGATGGTTATGAATTTGACAGTAAAAGTCCAGACCAACACATGGGAGTGGCTGACAGAAGCAGAGATCTGTGCTCAATACAGCTCTTTTACAGTAACTAACTGACATTGCACACAATGAAAAAAAGTTTAATGTTGCATAGCATTAGTAATAATATTTTGAGGTATAGTAAAATGCAAAAAACGTGGTCAAACTGTCTGAGTCCAATGTTTTTTGTTTTGTTCTGTAGTCACAGTGTGGTCAAACTGTCTGATGTTTTTTGTTTTTTGTTTTGTTCTGTAGTCACAGGCGTAAAGAACAGACTGGACCATTCACACCTGAAATCTGTGGATGTTCTTTAAAAAGTTTTTCAATATTTTGAAGTCTTTCAAACGGGCAGATTGTGAATCATCGGCCGGTGTGGCCAGATGTTGGCTGGACTGTGCCGTGTGAAGTAAGAGGAAAAATCCAACTGTCCAGCGTTTCAATCAAGACTTCGGTCTTTGTTGCGTGTGGTCTCCAGGTTTTCTCCACCAACAACACCGAATGTGGACGTCTGCTGGAGGAGATCAAGTGTGCTCGCTGCTCCCCCAACGCCCAGGTGTTGTTCCACTCCTCGGACGTGGATAAGATGCCACACAGGGAGCCAGACTTGCCGCGGCTCTGCCAGGACTTCTGCCGAGAGTTCTACTACACCTGCAGGGGGCACATACCAGGTAATTGCTCCAATATTGACGATCGTGCTGTTCGGTGGTGTTAATTACAGCTCCTGTACTGTTACCTGGTGATTCAAAAGCAAACACACACACACATACACACACAGAGGAATAGAGAAAGTTGGCACATGTCATAATTACTAATTAAGCTCCTGCTTCTTTTGACACATCTGATTGTGATGAATTAAAATTTGCATCGAGCCTCATTTGTCATTTGGACTCAGGCTGCACTTGGAGATTTTTGGCAGATTTTTTAACCTTTTGAAGAAGTGGTGCGTCAGTAGTCTGGTCTGTGGATATTTATTTATCCAACACTTACCTCATCTGACCTCACCTCCATTTGTTGCTGAGCTCGTCTCAGACGCTTGCTTGTTTGCTGCCTCGCTCTCTGCTGCACTGTTCCACATTAATGCATCAGTGAAATTACGCGCTAGGCTCACAAATAAAGACGCACAGCCAGTCGGGTAATTAAACTGGCGACTGATTCAGCGTTTTTTTCTTTCCTCGCTAACAGCTGAGTGAAACTTGGATATTTTATGACGGACAAGTGAATGGAACTGAGCTAATCTTACTCAGTGTGGAAACTTTTTGTCTTGTTAATTTGCGGAAGTTCATAGAAACGTTCAATTGGACTTTTTTTTTGTTTTCCCAAAAGAAGTATTTATTAAGTTTTAAGACGTTCTCTAAAATGTGAAAGGAAAATACTGAATTTGGACGGGTTAAAAAAAAAACCCTCAAGCAGCACAGGCTGTCCTTCTGATGTACTCTATAGAAAAAAAACAGGCTGTCCTTCTGATGTACTCTATATACAGTATGTGTATAGTACTATTTTAGGTACATGCTTACCTTACCTGTGGTCTAGACATGACTGTCAGCCACTGTCATTAAAAGGAACCGTTCCTCATTCACTGCCACCATCAGAGTGTTTTCATTGAAGTTGTAAATTTTAAAATAATCTCAACAAGTTTGGCTTTGCCGCCAAACTATGGGCTCATAAATCAAGGAATGAAACAAATGACACCGACAGAGCAGCTATCTCGTGGATGTGTTGGTGTCAAAGGAGGAGGAACCCTCCTTTCCCCTAAAAGCATCTGGTCCTCGGGAGGATTTCTTTTGAAGGGATGCACCATCACAGGTACTTGTACCTTCAGAGTGCATACCAAACATGATCAAACGCTCCTTTGACTGTCTCTCCTCTCCTGCAAGCCAAGTCTTTTTCCATTCGCTGTCGCCACTAACTGATTAGATCGGCTGAGATTTGCAAACAGAGAACAGTTTCAAACACACATGTCTGCAACCCACCCACATGGTGCGCTGCAGCTCAAGTCAAATATCAAACACATACATTCCATCCCGGTGCATCCGAGTCTGAATCTAGTGGCCGGCTGCCATATCATGTACAACACCTCGGCGACGGTAGGATCCACAGACTACACGGAGACAGATAGAGGGGAGAAGAGCGCTCTGGAACCACGGTTTCCTTTTCATTAGCTGCCAGAAGCATGGGCTCACAGAGTCGAAACCAAAAAAGCTCACGAGAGGAACCCAGGGAACCCCCCCCCCCTCCACCACCACCCCCTCCTCCCCTCTGTTCACTGTCGTGTTCCTCCCCACTCACACCCCCAACCCTCCGCAGATCAGCATATGTGGTGACGAATGACACATTTATTTTTCTACAAAGGTTGTGTGTATGTAAAACTGCTGAAGTGCATCAAGATGTCAAGTACTTAGGGTGGGCCACCCAGGTTGCCTTGGAAGATAACCAGATGGAAGTATAACTTTAGTGCTCTGGAGCCGAGCCGGGAGTACGGACTCTCTGTCTCTCTCTCTGTCTCTCTCTCTCTCTCTCTCTCTCTCTTCCTAATCGTATTCAGTGTCTGTTAATGAAACCGTCAAAAAAAAAAAATTCCAGATTTGATTTTTGGATCTGGACCTAAATGTACCAGGTGGTGGAAGATACGTTTGTTTTGGGTCCTGACTGCAGCAGTGGACCTGTCAATCCACACACATTGATTAAAGGTCAGACAGTAAATCACTGAACTCATTCAGGGGCTGCATTTGAAACCAATTGGATTTTTCTTTTACTTTTTCTTTTCTTTCTCATCTTGGAGGTGCTGAAAATCCTTCAAAGGTCTTGAAATCTGAATCTTCAAACGATAAAAGTTTTTTAAAATTATTTGTGGCTCCCTTAAGAAAGCTAAAAAGAGCGTCAGCTCTCTTGTCGTGTGGGGCTGTACACCTCCAACAACCGTTTATCCAAAAGATACAATTACAAATTTGGAAACCTTTATTATCGCCAACCTCTAGGGTCTTTTTGTTGACAAAATTAAAGACTAGAAAAAACAAAATGAGGGTTGCGTCCCAAAATGGGATTCAGAGGATTCATCCATGTTCTAAAGAAAATGTCCACACACAAACTTTAACCTTTAAAAGCTTCAACTTAGACGACATTAAACTTTACTGCATCCATAAATGTCTTCCTCACACTTTCATTGTCTCTCCTGTCTTTAGCACCTTTTGCTCCACAAAAAACATTTACTGCCTTGACTCCTATTTCGGCCTTGAGGCCCTCGTCCTCCTGCCTCTTTACACTCCTCTATATCATCCTCCGCTCTTCATCCGCCGCCCCCCCACCTCCACCTCCACCTCCACCTCCTGTCCTCCATGCACCGAGGTCCCCGACCAGCATGGTTAAGATAACTGCAGACACAAGAGGGTGGGTGGTAAAGCCAGTGATGTGTGTGTGTTTCTCTGGGTGTTTGATCTCCATGTTGTGTTTAGATGTTTGAGGGGATATCCTATCACCTCCACTATTTGGTGTGGTCAGGCCTTGCAGTTGCTGTGTGGCGGGGGGGGGGGGGGGGGACTTGAAAGGAGGGACAGGGAGAGCTGTGTTTGTGTTTTTATCACTGGTCTGTTTGCTCTCCTCCGTCCTCACAGGGACTGACTAAAGGAAACAATATTGTCAGGATTGTTTTTAGGTCACCAAGGGCCTCCGAGAATGGCTGCACACTTTGTTTTTCGTCCGGAATAATGCCGTGACCGCGCGAGCTGGAGCTCCATGACAAAAACGTCTGAAAGATTACTTGAATTCATACAGTATATTAAATGGGTAATATTATTATAGATATTGGTTTATCTCCATGCAAAGAGATGCAACTGCAATGCAGTTGAAGTAACAATGAAACTGCATTTGATCAGTATTAGAGAATATAAAGTATTTTGTCTTGTGACCTTTTCACGTTTGCGTGAATAGAGGGAATCCAATCTCAACAGACCCTTCAATGTTTTTTCCTTCTTACTTGCTGTGTACATTTGTCATTGATGACTTGACTGGGCTTATGTTGGGGTGTGTTCAGCCAGAACCTCCAGACCATCTGGATTAGGGAATGTGACTTTGCTGGCAGACGGGTCAGTCCTTTGTTTTTTTTCCACTGTTTATGTAGTGTTTAGTTGCAAAATATAAATGTCCATCATAAAATAAATCCCATCCCTACAAGGGAGCTGATTTAAATAAACAGTAAGAATACTTCTGTCCGCAGTTTAAGTGGCACTGATTGTTTTTAATGCCGGCAGAAGTCATACGTTGCTCTTAGACATGCGTTGGAATCCATTGGAACATTTGTTCCATTGTCATCTCTCCAGTTATTATCTACACAAATACTCCCGGATCTTTTACAGCCAGCGAGCGGCCAAATGTGTCTGCTTCCAAGAAATGAGAGCCAGACTGTGTAGAATAAGGTTAAAGGTGCATTGCATAGACTACACAGAAAATGTCAAACACATAGATACAGACAGTGCATCATGGGATGTGATAGACAGGTGGCGGAAAAAATCAAGGTTTTTTTTTTTTTTTTTTTTACATAGGCTTACAATGCATCCATTTTCCGTTCATGTTTTTTATATGCAGATGACGATGTCCAGTTCTAATATAGAGCTTATGCGGTCATGTTTTTTATATGCAGATGATGATGTCCAGTTCTAATATAGAGCTTATGTCATACATTATGGCATATATGTCTATGAAGAGTCTCAGTCATCCAGGTCATGGTCAAACTCTTAAACCTTCATCATGACATATATTGCTTTGAAATCAGAGTCTGCATCTAGATGGACTTCTTATTTCATTTCTTATTAATGGTCCATGATGCAGAACAATGACCAGTACAGGGATGATGTCCTACTATAAAACTCTCTGATCACCTGGATGAAAAGGTAAGATGTTGACCTTTGAAATGTTACCAATATCTTACGTGCTAAAATAGGAGATATCACAGGCGTTTTCCCTTTTTCCTCCAAGATTTGGAGGAAAAACAGACCCACGTGTGTTTGCAGAAATCCACTGGAACAAGGTCACGAGCATCGTTTCATAAATCAAAAATGATGACGGTGTATTCTAAATGTTAAGAATGTAGTTTTTCCTCTCTGTAGGAGGCAGGGTTTACTGTGGAACCCTGTCTAATGTCTGGAATCCATTTGGTTTGGCCCACTTTCCCTTCACTTGTTCTAGCCCAGTCTAGCCAGAATTTGGTTTGGCTCATCAAGCGTTGCTCCGAGCCTCTTCCATATACCAGCGCATCACATCCCCTTTTCTTCCCTCTGTGTCTCATTTACTCGCTCATTCACTCTCATCCCACTGCACGTCTGTCGCTCTATGATACACAATCAGAAATGGACTGTATATAAGAACACACTGGCTGGTCTCATGTTCCTTTGTCTGTGTGTCTTTGTTTGTTTTCTTTGCCAGAGCTGTTTCAGGCCGATGTGGACGAGTTCTGCCAATACTATGGGAGGAGGGACGGCGGTCCGTGCTTTCCAGATTTTCAACGAAAGCATCCGTTAGGCCAAGATTCCAACTATTTGGGAGATGAAAAAATGGAAGATATCAGCAGGTTTGTGGTCTGAAACAAAGCATAATGTACTTCATATGTGGACTGAAAGGAAACCTGATGATGTGCAGCCTATTATTATTATTATTTTTGATTAATATCTGGCTCTTTGTTCCATATCTTTAAACTTTAGGTGAGGTTTTTCAGGATCCATTCAGTTGAAATGATCCTTAAAAACACATTTAGAGCCGGTGTCACATGTTGTAGGTTCACTGCTCCATAAATGCTTATTTAATACTAGAGTTTTTTTTTTTTGCACACTCCCCTTGGTTCAGCTTTGCTCACATAATAAAAATGCTTACCCTGCACAGATTCCTATATGCCTCCTTGCTGCACACTGGGCTCTGGCCTTTTGTCCATGTAGGGAGAATGCCTTTCATCTCTGTTTTTCCTGAGGCTAGAAGTCCATGCAGTAAATGTCTGTGAACGGTAGCACCGAACTGTCAGTCCGAAACCTTTTTTAGCAGTTAGAAAATCCCAGGATCCTGTTGTGGATTATGTGCTTCTGGTTAAACAGTACCTGGATTCAAAACTTGTGAGGAGACGTTAAGTGCAAATTGAGTTTAGGAAACTGGGAAACATACAGGATTTAGGTCCAGTATCCAGAACAAAGTGTTTTGACAGTTTGACATTAACATTTATTTCCACCATCAAAAAAATAAAATGTATTCATATAATTTTATTTCTACATAATGGGCAAGAATTGCTTTCCTATACGTGAAAGTAATTTGATTTATCATAAAAAGGTCAAAATTGAACCCCCAAAAATTTCCTGGAATAAACTTCATTAAATTTAGGTCAAAATTGAACCCCAAAAAATGTACATTTCCTGGAATAAACTTCATTAAATTTGAGAGATTATTATTGTTTTGCTAATGTGTAGCTGTCTACTGAAGCTACAGCAAACTCATACAACTGTGGCTGTTTTCTTGACAAATCCAGGCCATCAAGTCAGTGAACCTGACATTATAAGAAAGCCCTGATCGCTCGTACTTTACCTTCACTTTTCTTTCCTGCCTCTTTGATCTTATAACTGGATTATCCTCCGTCATGATCTGTCTTTGACCTCCTGTATCCTCCTTTGTTACCAAGGAAACACAAACACAACTGCTACTGTGCCCAGGAGGTGCTGAGCGGTCTGAGGCAGCCCGTCGCCGTGGTGCATTGTGGGGACGGATCTCAGCGACTCTTTGTCCTGGAGAGAGAGGGCATTGTCCGAATACTGAACCCTGACCTTGAGTTTATTAAGGAGCCCTTCCTGGACATCCACAAGCTGGTGCAGAGTGGTCTGAAGGTAGGAATGTGTCTGACATTTGGAGGAGAATTTTTTTTTTTTTTTCTGATGCTCGGGGAGCCTCAGCTGCTCCTGTCTTTACATTAGGAGCGGCTGAGCCAAGTGTGAATGTGTGAGGAACATCTGCAGCCAACACAAATCCCTTGTTAGGGGTGTCTGCTGGCTATTAGCATTCATTTATATAATTATACCAAAACATTTAACTCTGTAATTATACCAAACCAGCAGTCATTTATCAAACGCCATCGCAGCTAATCATTATGTCATTATCTCCCAGTTAACTGTGTGCAGCGCTCCATTGTGCTTCTTGTCAATTTTCTGTTCATTTTCATAAGTTGGTTAACAGCTTTCTGGACGCCGTCCATATTGTTCTTCCAGAGTGTCTTAAAGTCAGTGCTGACTAACTCCGCAGCCTCGGGGTGACAGTTTAACAGCTGTCTCTCAGTCTGAAATTGCAACCTGGTCTTAAATCTGTATTCACTTTGGCAAAAACAGTTTTTTTTTTATTTGATGTCTGTGTCTTGTTCTTTCTTTTTACTGTGGAATAGCACGTTGTGTAACGTGCAGCATATGGAGACGTGAGCCAAATGGACTGATTAGTCTGTGTGATGGCAGGAAGCAGCACTGCTGCAGCGTTAGCTTTGACTGCTGGTCCTCCTCTACATGACACAGTGTGAGGGGCAACTCAACATGTGTTCTGCTTTTGTTTGGTTTTGTAGCCAATTTGACAAAAATAAACACAGGCAACGGCGTTCGGGGAATTTTAAAAAAACAAACAAACATATTTTTCTCCTTTAACCGGATTTTTCTGCCTGTTGTGGATAAAGAAAAAAAAAGAAAAAATATTTTTATTTATCAATGTGGATTTCATTTCTAGTGCTAGTCCTTAAATTATATCATTTATGAGAAATGGAAACATCGCAGTGTGACGTTGTAATCGGCCTTTCTTGGAACATCTGGTAAATCTGTCATTTAAACCGCAGTAAAGTTTTTTTTCAGTTTTATACGTTTTCCATCATTTTTTAAAACTCACTTAAGGAAACAAATGTTTTCCGTAGATCAGGGGTGTCAAAGTCATTTTCACCAGAGGGAGTGGGGGGGCACATCAGCAATACGGTTCCCGTTGAAGGGAAGACTGTAACTACTTCATACTTCAATTGATTATTATTTATTAAAGTTACTAATATTGCACATCGCTGTGTTATAAAAATAATAATTTCAGGTTGAGAACTTCAGCAGCATGGACTTTAGGGCCACAGAAAATGACTTGGCGGGCCACATTTGCCCCACGGGCCTTAAGTTTGGCACATGTGCTGTAGATGATTACATATACATACAGTGTAATTCAGCGACGTAGTTCCATCATCATCTTAGATTTGTTTGTATTTTTGTTTTTTAAAGAAATGCTTGAAGAATGAGAATGAGCTTAGATTGCACAGGGAGATGGGACAAATGGGATGTTTAGGAGGCACACTTCCAGACAGGAAGTTTATCTGTCATGCGTGCCTCCTGCTCCTCCACTGACAGGGCCGCTTCGCTTACACGGAGTCAAACAGAGCATTTGAATATCCAACTGCCACTCGCAGGATGCTCCTCTTCCCCATCTGCTCTGCCTCCCTATCTGCATTCAATCCAGACTGGATGCAGATAAAGTAATCATGACAATTAGACGTGTCTTAATCCCCCTCGGGCCTCAGGAGTCCTATTCTGTGATGTTGGCTCCCAGAAGGAGCGGGTGGATGGGAGCAGGGGAGGGCCGAGGTGTTTACTGGCAGCATCAACAGGATGGAGATGCCTTTATACAGAGAGAGGAATCCAGGCACCCGGGAGACAGGGCAGATAAGAGGTTTATCATCAGCCACATGCACATGCTTTGATTGTAATGTTCTGTGTTTCCTCCTGCTCTTCTGTCCACCTCCTTCCCCGGATTCCCTGGATGCCAATTAAACTGAATTGCACCGAGACAATGCTGCGTTGCGGTGGTGTGGGCTCCGAGGTGCTCTGTGGGTGTTCTTCTTCAACTGAAATCCAATATCAGTACTTGTGCTGTGCACAATCCTCCTCCTCCAGCAGTGAGTGTGTTGTACGCAGCTGGCACTTCAGCGAGGACAGGTTGCACACGACTCCTATTACCTGTGTTTACGCTCACAAACGTTTTTCAACGATGCAGAGGAACTCACTGCATGTTTGGAGTGACCTCATTCGCAGGTTCTTTCAAGGAAAAAAAAAACAGTTTGAATAGTTTTAACCCAATATAAGTCACGTCCCTGCAGTGCTGCTCATATAGATGTTAGGACTGTCGGACTATTGAAACCTCTGATCTGATTAATCACAGGTTAGCTGTTATGTTTAATATAATTATTTAGAGGTTTATTTAGGAAAGTTTGAACAGCTTATTTAGAGGTTTATTTAGGAAAGTTTGATTCAATCAACTTTCCTAAATAAACTTCTTTTTCCCCTTGTATATTAATGGAACAGAATAACAGATAACAACAGGCAGATGTATGTGTTTGACTCAACCATTTGCTAGTGGATTATTATCAGTCCTGTGCATCTGGACGGTGGTTACTTTAGGTGAAGCCCAAGAAAACGTCCTACCAACAGTGTGTGTAAATGACAGCATGTATCAGTTGTGTATTGGATTAATGATGAAAGTGGTTGGATGGTGGAATTATTGGATTAATTTGTCAACTTAATTGTCGCGGTTAACATGTTTATTTCGACAGCCCTAATTTAATACTAATTAGTGGTAGATAGTCATAAACTAGTGATCCCACTTTTACAAGCAAGTGCTCTTTTATTAGGGATCATATGGCTTTGGTTTTCTATGAATGATATACACTACTCAATCAGTCAATGCACTTCACTGTGCTACAGTGTGTGGTCTAACGCGTCACTGTAACTGTGTCTTATCCACACATTGAAACAACATATTTCTAACCACTGACTTGTGTCAACATAACAGCAGTAACAGAAACCACCAACAAATATTTCTTCCGTTAAATGAAATAAATCAAAGCCTTTCTTTCCTCCTCTGTAGAACCATGAACTGACGGCGTCATCGGAGACTCGTTTTTTTTCACAGCCAAAAATGCGTAGCTTTACCTCCAATTACCGTCTATTTATTCTGATTAGAAACTGGGCTGAGGTCAGACTTGTGTTAATCTCAGTATTACCGCCTGACAGCTGCTGTCGACTGGAAACATTTGAAACCTCGCTGTGGTATAGATTTATCTCATGATCGTAAGCCCAGAAATAAAAAAAAACAACAACAAAAAAACATTATTTATCCACACAAGAACATATATTTTGGAATAATAATCGCCTCTTAAATCACTTATATGTGTCTGTTGTGTTTAGCCCTCTATCAAAACGTGTACAGGTTAAGATGGAAACTTTGACTGATGTCTTTAATGTAATGAATTATAAATGTGTTACTTCAACCACAAAGGATCATGAATCATCTTCTGAGCCCTCGCTCTGAAGATGGATTACTGCGGATCTCTGGGAGGATTACCGTTTCACTGGATTCCTGTGTTCTCGCTGTAGGATTTATGTATTAACAGGTGGAGTTGGAGAAAAGTGATATTTTACTTTGTAGTTCTCCACACAGTAGAGAGTTGGTGGTAGAAGTGTGGGTCATTACTCATCGTTTCACGAAGGGCTTTGAGGAGCTTCGGCTTTGAGGACATTTAGAGCGCGCGTCATTGGCTGAAGTCACTCGCTACATAGAGGTGTAAAGTGAATTTTTGGAAATTTTTTGGAAAAGTTTGGCTGGCCCGATTAAAAAGCGGCATCTTAGGCATCTTAGTTTGCCCATGCCTGTATTAGAACAATGAAGAATTTAAAGAAAACATCAGACTTTTCTAGCTCTATCTTTTTTTTGTTTTTCTTTAAACAAAAAGGAACATTATTTTAGTCCTGCTGACCTGCAGAAAAAAACTCCAGACTAACAGTCAGGATTGTAGTTCCATAGTGTAGTGGTGAGCAGAGAGTCCGGGGTTTGATTCCCAGAGGAGCCACATATCCCTAATGGCGCCTCCCGTGTGGTGGACGGTGAGTTGCAACCACGTATCTTATGGCGCCGCCTGTGTCAGTCGCAAAGACTCACATTGTAAATTTCAAATGAGGAACTCAAGTATTATTATTACATAGAGAGACGTTTTGGTCAGAGGTTTTTGCCTTGTTGATTATAAATACTACATTGGTAATAACTTCTGTATAAACTTACGACTCCTTTTATTAGAAGTTACCAGAACAGATTTAGAAGGGGAAAAAAAATAGAGACAAATGTGTTTTTGTACTTGATCAGAAAAGAGAAACCAGAGACAGTACAGAGGACAGGACAGGACTCTTGGACTACATCTTCAGAGTATCTGTCCGCTGAATCTTCTGGCAGCACCTGCACTTTGATTGTGTTCGTCCTTCTGAGAGACGTACGTTCTTTTGTTTGACATCTGTCTGATTAAAGTGTCGGACTCTTCTGACTTTGGTGCTCTGCTCCTTTGGCTTCTGCCGTGGAAGCTGGTCATTAGCGAGGAAGCTAATGTTTCAGACCACCGTATACCTTGGTGGTCTTCCTTTGGCTCCTAATCAAAGCCGCTTTTAAACTGCGGTTTTCGACCAACTCCCTGTGGTGGGTTTTTTTGGGGCGTGTGGGTCACTGCACCCTCATACGGACCATATGGATCCACTGGTGGTGGGTTACGGGGAGAATCTGTCTTGGTTAGATGAAAGTGAACGGCCACCTCCGCTCCCAGCTAACGTGCAGCTGTATGTTGTCCCACGTTCACATAGCTCTGTGTTTTATGTGACTTCAATCGTCTGACTTTTAGGAGTACTCGTAAATATCCTTCATAGAACCTCGGCCTTTTGGGAATAAGATTTATTTGTCAACTTTCACAACATTTCACTTTATCTTCAGATTTATAGACCCCCTGTGCTTGTCATGACGTTGCTCATTGGTGCATTCCTCCGCACGGAGTCATCATCTTTTTTCTGCATCCACATATGGCCTGTGTCACTGCCATGTTTTGACAAGGCTGAGTTCAACCAAACACAATTATTAAATCGCACACAACAATGTGTTTTTGGAGAGGTTCTAACAGAATACTAGGGATTCTTAACTTGAGTACTCTCTGATACCGAGTATCATCACCAATACTTGTCCAATGGGTTTCAATAAATATTACTAAAGACTAGTGTTATGTAGGTCACCCGACTCCAAGGAGGAAAATGTTTACAACTACCTTAGAATCAGCTTTTTTTTTTGTTAAATTGATCTTATTGTAACAGAAAAAAACCCTTACAGTGAGTCTCCCACCTGTCATTGTCCGTGATGTTGTGAACCGGTTGTAGTGAAAAGCTGTTCAGGTTGTTTGATCAAGTGTTGACACCTGTTCAGATACTGACTCTGTAACCCACAAACTGATTTTTTACAATCACCTTTTCAGTTTTGAAGCAACAAAAATGCGACACAATTATTCAATTTTTTTTTTCTCAAGTACTACATCAATCATCTGAATGAATTGGTATCATCTGCAAAGAGAGGGAGTTTTTTCTTTCTTTACACCTGAGCCCAGCGTTCAATTCATTTGTGAATAAGAAATAGTGCAGCAGTCAGAGTTCAGCAGAAATAAAGGATGGCCGGAATGGTCTGCTTGTCTAGGGAGTGAAACGCTAGAGCTGATTATTACAGCTAACTATGATGGGAGGACCACCAAGGTAGTGACAACTGATGTAGCTGCCTCCAGGGTGAGACAAAGGTTTACATATTACACAAGCAATTTAGATGTTTTCTAAACATGTTGCCAAGACAGTGGGAGTTGGCAGCTTCTCCCTTGTTTAGGTTTCCTTTTTTTTTTTACTCGGCTCCCCCTGCGACCCACCCCCCCACCCCTCCGCAGCCCTGAATTTTGCAGAGATTTCGTGTAAAGCGGGGAGAGAGAGCGAGGACAAGGAGCAAAAAGCACGGACTTAAGTACTCTGCACTTTTGTGCTCTCTATGAACTGTGAGTGAGCTAATAAATTCTTTCAGCCACTCCGCGTTGCATTCACGAATATCCCCCAAAGATTACACACACAAATCACTGGACAATGGAGGCCACCGGGAGGGCCGGGGCGTCACAGGGCCCCCCGACCCTGAGGACAAGCACACATAACCAGGCTGAAGGGAGG